GTGGCCGACTGGAGTACATGATATTGACAAGACTGACAAGACTGACATACCACTGACAATAGCGACGCACTAATCATATACTGACAATACTGACGTCCCAACCTACTGACGTCCGAACTTACTGACTTACTGACATACTGACCTACTGACATACTGACCTACTGACATACTGAACACACTTCCTATATGTAGCTAGTAGCTATTGGTTTGCGCTGCTGTCGAATGTCCGTAGAATACAGGATAATATATATATTATTTATTTGAATTATTTTATGGGAATTATGGGGTGCTCGCGGAATAGCGGCATTGTCCGGCCCGTCCACTGAACCTGTCGTGGCGCAGGTCACCGGGTGCCAGGTTTTACCCAATGCCAGGCTGAATCAGAAAAGACCCGGCGGTGCCAATTCGGGGAAAAACCCGGTCCATCCTGGGTTGAGCGTGCTGTTTGATGAACCCGGGTTGAACTCAATCTCAGCGCCGCCTGTGTAGCTTTTAAACGAGGTCATAGCTGAATTTAGGCACTCCCGACTCCTCCCAGATGATATGCACCGCGATTGGCGACAGTTTCCTCGACGATTCTCTGATCGCAGATTTCCGTAGGGCGCAGGATCATCCACAGTGCAAATTGCGCATTCGCTGAGAGATTCTCCCACACATCCCTCCTATTCGTGCGCTTACCCCGTTTCACCGATGTAATTTGTTCTCGATCTCCGATCAATGATGCTGCGTGTTCTTAGCATGTCAAACGACGCTCAGAAGAACCGACCACGGGATGTCTTCGTGGAGCGCCCTGCAGCGTGTGGTATCTAGCGGCCAGCTTTTCGCCCGATTTCAAGGTCTTGCGCTCGGAAGGCACCCAGAGTCACAGTTTCACTTTTGTGGGAACACGAATATAATCATGTTTAGTTTCAGCCGACGGCATGTGAATGCATGCACATCTCAAACTTGGTACAGGTTATTCCAAGTCTTTCTTCGCTTTGACAGCCTGACTGGCACGCTATCTCGGGTGGCGAACCTCAAGCACTTTTGTCAAGGCGATACAGTCTTCCATTCTGAGACATCATTCGAGTGATCGCGTTGTGCCTGCCTTCTCTAAATCGCTCCTATCTCCGCATGATGATTGATTAGCAAATACGCTATCCAAAGCTGGCGAAACACAAGAGAAAAGCAACCGCACCGGATGTCAACGCGTGAGCTAACCATTCCGCCCCCCTCCCGCCTCACGCTCTTCGCTCTCGACAGTCAGCGTGACAGGCATGGAGCTCGACTTGAACTCGAACATGGGCTGCTTTTTCATTGGGGTAATGATTGCCACACCGTGAGTGCCCTTCCTGTGTATGTCGTCTTCCACATCACAATTATGAGAAAACCAGACTTTTCGGCCTCACTTGTGCTCAGGTCATGTACTATATGCGCGAATACCCAGGAGACATGTTGGGCATGAAAATACTTGTGAGTTTTGCTGCCGCTAAAGCCTGAAAGCGACGCTCCAACTTTGACAGGTTTATGGTCTATGGTTGGCACATTCATTGGACTGATGCTTCTCACTGACCGTCGGCTGAATGCAGGACATTCGACACTCTGATCACTGTTGTATCGGTCCAGGCGAGTTATAAACACTACCTGCGATGACCCATCCTCATTGTGTGTCCAGTTCATGTATAAATATCTGGTTCAAGGACATATGGATCCCTTAGCTCTCACCAAATTGGAGCCGTATGGTCAATTATACATGTTGTAAAGCAACTAATAATGAAGTCTGCGTTTCAAAGTACAGGGCCAGTAAGACGCATTGGCTTCGGAATAGATTGTATATTCACGCTAATCGATATTCACACATCAGCTGGAATATATGTTTGCGGTGAGCGTTTTGAACCTTTCTCTGAATCTCAATCCCTCTGATACGTTGGGTAACAGGCGATTGTCGTGTTAACCGTGCAACTGTACGAGTTATTGCATTGTACGCTTCTGTGACAGCTACTAACATAATGCTCAGGTACTACCTACGCACGATCTGGATCCGTGAGTGCGGCGGCTGTTATTGCATATGCACCACTGAAATTCTAGATCGGAAGTCTTCGGTAGAAAGTTCTACAAACTGCCGGTCGTGGGGACGCTGGTGGGTTCCAGTGTACATGCCTACAACGTGAGCCTGATGGTTCGTTGTGTAGGTTGTGTTAGCTTTCGTGTCTTTCGGTAAGGCAAACATACGTTGTTGCAGCTAAGCAAATTTGCTGAGTTGCCTTTCAGGCTTTGGAATAGGTAATGTTATTATGGAGTGACGCCTACCAAATATCCAGTATGTATTGATTGGTGTCAATTGTGATCCAGCGAACTGTGCGATAGGGTAAGAGCCCTCCTCTAAACTAGCTAGATATGTGATCTTAACGTTGTCCTTGATTGCTCTGCAGCTTAGTGGACCCCACACTCCCTGGCGTATATCAGCGGACGAGGGTGCGTAATATATGATAGCGCGCGCACGGTTTCCTAGGAGTTGTTGGTGTTAAATCGCCGTGATCTTAGGTTTCTGCGTCAGTACAGCCGGTTACCGCTTCTGTCACGGATGTCTGCATCACAGTTTGCCTATGTTGGGCCTTACATAACGAGAACACTGGATTGAACCGGTAGGCATCCTGAGCGTCTCATCATTTGGTATAAAGTACTGATCTCTACACCAGTACAGACACCCTCGTTCGAAAGCTGATGGTGTACGCAATCAACCGGGGGATTTTGACATCGTACGCATGTATTGCTTTCTGCCGTAGACGCACTGACAAATGCAGGAATATATAGAGTTATCCAAGTCGGTCAAGCTGTCGCGGTGAGTGAGCCGAGAGCATCGAATTCGCAATCGTGACACGCAGCTGTACAGTATCTCGCAGCTAACACCACACTGTTCTACTGGTCCATGTTCCACTTCCCGGGAAGCAAAGGTAGGTCTATGTGATTCCGTTTCTATGTGCTCGCTGACGATGCTGCACTCTCTAGTTTATGTGAACTCTGCAATGGCAATGTTAGTAGTTTGCTTCGCTTACTCGTTCATTTCCTCGCTTACCCACTCGCTCTACCGCTTGGCGTTATCTAGATTGAATGCGCGGCACCACATGCAAGATAGAAAGAAGTCGAGTGTGAGGATGCCTTCTACCGTGGGAAAAAATAGCAGAAGTATTCCTCTACAAAACCTGCGAGGAGACAATGTGTCTAGGAAAGTCTGACTCGCATAATTATAATGCCTAAATCAACTTACACATGACAGATACGAGCAAGGTAGACAACCTACGGTCATCAACATATCCACGAGCCAGAGCATTGCTTTAAGCTGAATCGTTCAATATCCTATATAATCAGGGACTACAGGGCACATCGGCAGGTCACACGTTGTATCACAGTATCTAGTATAAGGGAAGAATGCAGACGAGCCCCGGCCTCCAGAGTATAGTGATGTGCTGAACCACTCCTTCGTACACGCAGCACTCTTTCAAAACAACCAAGCTCGGATGGAGAACACACGGGACGTTAGTCGCCCATGTGATTCTGTCGTTCACGACAAGGATCACAGGCACGGCAGTGATGATCATAGTGATGAACGCTCCATGGAAGACTCTACTCTGTTCAAACGATCGATCATATAAGCTGCAGCGCTCAGACAAGATGATCAGAATATCTCGCCATAGTGCTTCGTTCCTTGACAGGTGTAACGTGCGAGGTGTGGCAAAAGTATCAAAATGATGCTACCGTATTTGCCCACGCCCATTCCTTTAACGGAGCATTTCCATATCATTTCTGCTGTCGCAATGATTATGCACTGCCAAAATCGACAATCAACCGTGCGCGGAGTGGCTTAATAAGAGCCACTCAACAGGTTTCCACCGAGTTCATCAAGAGCTTATGTTGCAACTGTAGACCCGAGACTCTCGATCAAAATCACGTCCATCTGTCGAGCTAATTTATTCCTGTGGGCGGTTGGTTTATACATAGGTCTTCTCTTTAGTTTCCCAGCGGATTTCGTATCGTTAGACGTACCCGAGAAGATCTGTGCGGAAGCGGTATCAATCAAATCAATGGTCGGGACTGTGATAACGATCTGGCGGGGCCCGGAAATATATCGTCACTGTTAGATTTTGGGGCCCGCGGTGTCGAGCGGGCCGACCCGACGCGCCCTGTGCCTAGCCGGGAGAACGATCGTAGCACGATTGCCAAGTAAAATACATCGATCCCGTAGAGTACTTGTACCGTAGCGCGGCCGTACTTGGCCCCCACGCGTTTCTAACAATCCCGCCATTTTGCTCGCTCGCGTCCGCGTTCCCACTCCCCTCGTCTCGTCCCCAGGCGAAAGTCAACAGTCACAGCCACAATTCACCGCTGTTGTTGGAAGGACAGGGCTCGCTCATCCATGCCCGAGCACCATTGGTACATTGAGCTCAGTAGATCTAATGATATAGAAACAGCGTCACATTGTTTCCCCTTCAAGTCATCGTTTCGGCCCGCGGATACGTTGCATCCATGTCGAACAATAACTTTGCCAAGCAGTCCTCCTTCTCGAGTGCCATGAGCGTTGACGTATAATTTCCGTCACCGTGAGAAGGCCGCAGATAACGAAAATATTCTCACCAGCGAAGACACAGGGTTTGGTGCTCGGGGGCTGTGTCTGGCATATGGCAGAAGTGAACGGCAGTGCGGCAGGCTTGTGGGTTTTCGGCAGCAAATCTGTTTGTATTCATTCGCCACCTCCCGTAGAGCCATGAACCCAATGAGCTCGAGCAGCGCTAAAATTGTTGACTACGAGATTCAGGAAGACTTAATGAACAGAGACAGAACAATTCTCAGAGTGCTCAATTACGATTGTCCGCTCTCTGGGAGGGATTAGGTACCGGTCGGGATTAAAGATCTCGGCATCTTCCCCCCATATATCTTTGTCCCTGTCAATGTCGTTCGCTGAGTCTCACTATCCACCTTGATGCATGAGATTTAGGTAACTGACCGATTGCAGCTCGGTATGGAGAGTACAAGACGCAGGCCCGCTGGAACAGGTAATTCGTGAATTACCTGACCTGACCGAGTGGTGATTGGCTTAGATAAGGGAATGATGTCGTTGGCGACGGGTTGGCGGTACATGTACGGAACGAGTGGATGGAGGCGCAGTACTTCCTTGATGAACGCCTGCAAGAAGGGCATTGCCTCCACTTCCGCGGGAGAGATTTCGTCGCCTCGTGCACGAACGGTCTCTTCCATTGCTCTAATCTCCGAGCGGAGACGACGCTGGTAGTGTGGGTATTTCGCCAGCTCCAGGAGCGCAAAGCTGAGCGCGTTTGTCGTCGTCTCCGAGCCCGCAAACATAATCGTGCGTACTTGTGAGATGACCTCGTAGCGGCTCATCCTTGAATGCGCATGCATGGATTTGCAGGCTTGCGCTGCGAAGAGAATCTAAGTGCAAGCTGGAAATAATCACTGAAGAACATAATGACCAAAGATGCTCATGAGATCTCGCTTGTCCGTTCGCGGGAGCCCTTGCGAGAGCTTTGTCTCCAACAACTCTTCGGCGACACGATGCGCCACGTTCCTGTTGAATCGCAACTTCGCCGCAACTCTTGTGGGCAAGTTCAAGTACAATGCGGAAGCAATTGGGACCGTCAAATACTCTGCCAATGTCTCGAACATGAGTCTCAAGCTTGATGGTCTGGATGCGCAGACAGTCCTACAGCATATCGCATCAGCAAGAAAGATTGTTCAGGGCCTCGAGATAGTCTCACAAGAAATTCATGTACCCCTTGGCAAGCTCATTGTCCTCGTTCTCCAGGCACCCAGTACGATAGCCAAATAATGCTATGGATATTACATGAGCTGTTCTCCCGGAGGGAAAAAAGCGGCACGGTACCATCGCACACCGTATGGACTGTGGCGCAGCTCAAGCCACGTGCAACATTCACTCCGCATGTTGTCCCATCACTGGAGTTATCGACAAGTTGAGTCCATTGAGCGCACAGCTGTGTGGAGACAGATTTGTTAGCGATAAAAGTCATGCTTGAACTTTGTAAGCGTACGGTCTCAGCATATTGGATGAATCAGGGGAAGAATGCCTTGACCACCGGTGTTCCGAATGCAGGGTCCATCAAACGCCTCTGCCTCTGGTGAGTCTTCGCTGTCAAAAATATGCTCTGAGTCACCTTTGCCTTTAGTCTATGAGACGTATAGGGCCCACCATCAGCCCCATCAAGTCCTCCGTCGCCTATAAGTTTTGCTGCTATTCTTCGTTCTGGGATCTTCTCAAAGGCATAACCAGATTTCTGGAGAATGTACTTCATGGCTTGTGGATCGCTTATCCAGAGTGCTTCCCTCTGTCGATCAGGTGATAATGTTAGTGCTATCGGAGTAAGAAAGGTAGGCGAAGACGTACCCCGAACGGGTACCAGATGCGTGCAACATTACCAAAATTAGTTTGCCATTCAGTGTCCATAGTGATTACCTCTTCATGTCGGAGCTGCTTTATGTTTCCTGGATAAAACGGAAGTGAGCTGTGTAATGAAGAAGTAAAGTCATGTTTACCTGTCCAGAAGGACTGCCATCTTGGTCCCGGGACGTCAGATATTGAAATCTTCGACCATCGCCTGTACAGCAAGTACACAACCAATGACCCCGCAAGCACAGATAATGCGATACGATTTTCCATGAACACAGACTGTATCAGACACAGACGACTACGAAGTGGTGGTTGTTGCCTGAGCTAGTGCTGACTGCTGAAATGCGACGAAAACATGCTGGGGAAGAGACGTTTAAATGGCATGCACTACTTTTGTGATGTTCAGAACAATCTGATCTTCCAATCCCTGAACATATCCTTGAGACAGATGCAGCGCGTCAACAGCGTCCTGTTGTACTTGGAGGGAGATTCCGCGGCCACAGCGCGGGTCGGGAGGTACCATCGCATGAATCTGCATGAAACATCCGGGTTCATCAGAACTGCAGTGCAGTTCATGAAAGTATGGCGATGGACAGCTAAAGTAGCCATTGTCAGTGTTTTGAGGTGATTCAGATTGACTACCTGAAACACAGCGTTTCTAGTACAACTTGCGAAAATCACTAATGGAGAAACTTATCTCGGATAATGCCGTCTGCCACATCGCGTTCCGTTCGCAGCAGTGATGACAATTTGCAAATACAATTGACAATCGTTACGTATCATGTTGACAATATGCAAAAGCCTGCTCCCTAGTGCTTTGAGTTGAGCCAGCTCGCTGCTTATACCATCAAGATAGCTTCTTCCCGGCAACGCACGGCCTGACCTGACAGTGGCCATCGATCCTTTGCCAATTGCGTGTGAACTTATGAAGCTGGAGTGCCAGAGGCTCTGCTCCCGGCCTTCCGCATTTCCGATGCACCCCCATGTTTACAATTTGAAAGTCAGACCAATACACCCAAAAATAGTTCCAAAAAGGTTACACACGTGTCCAACGACTTGAAGACAGACGATAATGTCCCCGCTAACAGCCATACCATCTCAGCTCTTCATGAGCTCCGCTGCTCTCTCCGCGATCGCTATCACCGCGGCGCACGGGTGCCCCGACACCTGATCGGGGAAGACGGAAGCGTCCACCACGCGCAGGCCGTGCACGCCGTGCACACGCAGTTCCGTGTCCACAGCGCTTGTGGCGGGAGATGCGCCCATCTTGACGGTCGAGGTCTAACATGTGATATCAGGACATCTGCGGTATACAAACAAAGAAGCAGCGAGCGCAACGCACCGGATGCCACGCCGTCGTGCCCCACTTCCGCAGCCAGGTCTTGAGGTCTTCATCCGAGACCTAAGCACCGCCCGAACTATCAGAGTATGCTAGACAGAATGATGGACGGCTCACAGTGTCAGGGTCCTGATATGTCGGCCAGAATTCGTCGAATACAGGCTTCGCAGGTGGGTTTGACAGATCCAATTTGGACGCAATGGGCTCCAAGCGTGCGATGCGCATGGTGATCCGCATGCACTCCAGCGCGAGGTTCATGTCGCTTTCCGTAGCGAGGTAGCTGGGCAGAAGTCACAACATCAGCATGCGTCACACCTCGCTGCAAACGACGCACTTGGGATCAATGAGCGGCGGGTCCCACATGTTCGTGGATTGCAGCCGGATTGTGCCCTTACTCTGTGGCTTCAACAGAATCGGGCCCTACCGGTGCCGCCAGCTTTAGCAACGCACAGGCGACTTACAGTCCAATGAGAGCCATACCATCGTAATCCCGTGTGTACCCGGAGGGGGATTCACAGTGCCTCGGGCAATCACAGTCATCGGCGCGGTCGCGAGCTCGATGTCCGGCGCCTTTGGCCCTGAGCTAAGGTCCGCGATTGGACCCCGGGATGGTGAGCGCAGACTTTGAACTGATTTGAGGTTTGAATCAAGCGAACCAGTGCAGAAAGGCTCACCGAGGGTCATCAGAACGCACAAAGACTCCGACTTGACCTCCAATCGTGGACAGGGGCCCCGTGCCGAAGACAAGCCATCTAAGGAGGCCAACGATCGTAGACGTCGGGCTGTACAGATAGTCCCACGTCGTCCCTGGCTTCATCCTGAACAGCATCGCGCCCGGCGAGAAGTGCTGCATGTGCATCGCATGCGTCAGCCTTTGCGTATGGTAATGGCCAGTCCACACAACGTACCGCGAGCAGGTTCTCGCCGACCATCGGGACATTGCGCACGAGGGGCACATTCCTCTCTGCGAGGTGCGCGGCAGGCCCGATCCCGGAGGCAAGCAGCAGTTGCGGCGAGCATATTGCACCCCCACATACGACCACCTCCTTCGCCGCGCGCACCTGGTACTTGGGTGCGCCGTCGGCAGTCGAGACCACCACGCCCGTAGCGCGCGGCGTGCCGTCGGCGTCGTTCGTAAAGAGGATCCGTTCCGTCGTGATTGAGACAGCGACAGTCAGGTTGGGCCGCTGAAGCACTCCCGGGTGGAGATATGCCGTCGCTGCCGAGCTCCCTGTGTCATGCATCGTACAATTGATATTGCGGATAAGGATAATGGAACGCAGGCAACCCACGTTCACTCTTCTCGTCTATGAAGGCCGTGAATGCGCCCACGCCCAGCGTGCCCTCATCAGTGTTGAAATCCCTGTCGCGTAATGGGTATAAATAGAGAAAGACCTTGTACAGAGCTACTTACGGTAGGCTACGAATACCCGCGTTCTCACAGGCTTGCACAATCGTCTCGCTAGCAGGCTATCTTGCATTAGATCGCGCTTGTACTCAGCCTTGGTCGGTGCTCACCGCCAGTGGGACACCTCTAACCTTCCACGGGCCAGAGTCACCGTGGTGCGACGGGTCGACCGTCGAGTGTGCCTCGGGCAGGTATTTCTCCGCCTTGAGGAACAGCCTGGGCTATGATTTAAGGACACGAATAACAGCGGCAATTCAGACCACCCACCGTTTCATGGTCTCGTAGCCCCAGCCAGTAGCCCCCTGCTTCTCCCATGCATCGTAGTCTGCAATGACATGAGCCAGAATACATCAGACCGTGTTATGTACTGACCTTCCGGCGCGCAGCGGTGGTAAATCACAGCATTTATTGTGCTATGAACATATCATTATCCCCGGAACAGTTTGGCAATTCTCCGTACGCACCTCGACCCGCCAAGCACTCTTCCTCTGGCCCATGCGATACGACGGCCGTCGAGCTTCTCCTGAGGACTGGGATGGATGTCTTAGTAATGCACCGACAAAAATCATGAGGGGTGGCATGGGCGTGATCGGATTGCACGGGGGCACCACTTCCAGAATAATACTTGTTTCTCCCTCGATGTCCCAACTCAGACGCATGTACATGACTCGACTGGCTTGTGACAAACAACCAGATGAGTTCCGCCAGCTGCCGGCAGAATGACCATCGCGACCTGCTTCAGACACTAGCAGAGGCCACCCTCAGTCTGCCTTCATTGTGGAAGCGTAGCTCTGCGCCGCGGTAACTCTGCTTTGTAAACCTGAATTTAACGTCACGACATGCTATAAATCATGGCAGATGCCTGCATATTTCTGCCAATAACGCCGGTCGCAGCCCATTGCGACCCTCATGATGCCACATCCAATAGAAAGACGCACGTGGTAGAGAACTTCCAGTCGAATTCACTGTTCAATAGCTTTGTGAAGGAGAGCGGGATTCGACTCGGCAATATGCCTTCGTGACTGAACAATGGATTGTGTGAGTACCGCGTGCGAATGAGAGCGACTTGTCCGACCTTTTTCCAGCCTCAAGGAGGAGCACAGTCACATTGGGATCCTCGGAGAGCCTCGAGGCGAGCACACAGCCGGCGGTGCCTGCGCCACAACATGCGATATGTTGTTACCAATGAGAACTAGCCAGTGAGCCAGTACGCACCTCCGCCGACAATGACATAATCATACGTTTTGCACGAGTCGCCACGAGCCTCAGCAACGGGGGTAGCATACTTGGGAACTTCAGTAAGGATGTACCTAGACGACGCCGAACCCATTGCTAGTCACAGGAGGCTGCTTGTGGTTAGGTTGTTCCTAGCAGTTCTGGGGGACGACTTGCGGGAGGTAGCGACGAGCAGGCCGCCGGCGGTATTTGGGCCTCCTGAATGGACAGGCAGCCGAAGCCCATAGCGAGTAAGTTCATTGATCACATCATAGAAGAAGATAGAAATGGCTATAGGCATGGACCTGCATCACAGCGGCCGTTTCACAGCACATCAAATCGTGGGAAAACGGGGTAGATCTACCAAATATGGCAGGTGACATATCACGTTCAAAAGGACTTGCGTTTCACAAACTTTTCAGCTCATTTCATACCTGCGCAAGCGGAGTTGATGCGAAATTGGGAATCGGCGCTCGGAACTATGGTCCCGACCTGGCTAGACCCGGCAAAATATCGCTGCGGCCACATCTCGCCGCAGTGAGTTGTTGTCTCCAGGGATCGCCTACTATCCCCGCCCGCAGGAGGCCATGGTCGATTGGTCGGATTCGATTGGCGCTCGCAGGCCGAGCGTCACATTGGCGTCATCGGCGTTGTTGTCACCCTTCCAATATCGGTCATATATTTGCAGCTGTATTATGTAATGAGATCTACTTACTCCAAATATTCTTTCTTTTTGAAGTAGGAAACTTTTCAGAGGCATGCATTGGTCAGGTCTTACTTTGCATAGTGTTATACCACCAATGTATTCGATACAAGCATGCACAAGGATATCTGACCATAGCTACAGTACGCTTGTCAGACTGCTGTTATTATTTTCTTTCTACTTGGTCCTGGACTTCTCCAGCGTCTTGTATAGTCATTCTGATTATGTGCATAGATATACATTACGACTCTCCAACTTCAGGCAAGCTTGAACTGTCGAAAACCTCGTCTTTTCATTCATTGTAACATACAAGTTCGACTATGGTAATGATATAAGCGACACATCATAACAGTCGTGACTCTTGTGACCAATTGATGGCGGCCGGCACTCCCGAATCCGACCAATCGACCGTAGTCTCCGCCCGCAGCGCACACGCTGAGTTTAACAGGTCTACCGATATGGAATCATCTGTCAGAGGATAAGAATAGAAGGCTACACTCCAGACAAACGCCTAGCCTCCCTGAGCGGCGTGGATGCCTTCCAACTAACTCGATGATGGCCGCCGCCTTTACGTAACGCTCCGGTATTCTCGTACGAAGCTTCACCGAGAACAGGCATTGAGATCTCAGATGCCAGAAGAGACGAGAACGGATGCGAGCTCCTCTTTGCTAGAAGAAGAAGAAAAGGTGTGTTTACCAGATGCACGTTCCGTTTCCTCAGCAGAGATTAGACAGCCTGGCGGCTGCCACAGGCATTCTTAGGCGGACTGTGACGCCAGCTGGTTGATCTTTCAGATCTCAGCGTCCTCGCGTGGTTCCTGTGCCCGCCGGCATGCGAATACCAATCACGCCAGCCGTCTAACCCGTTACAGCCCCCCGCCTGCAGGAGACGATAATCATATGTTAATGCCACTGTGGAGATCTGTAGCTTTGCTACACCCTCGGTGTGATATACATCAAGCACCTGCCACTCCGGCGATTGAAGATTAGTATGCGCCCCTGGCAACGCTTTCCAATCTCATGTTGAAGCCTTCCAGAGTCTACCCGCTGGTCAGCGCACAGCCCCGCAAGAAGACACACGCGATGATTCTGCCGAACGGAGATTGTTCTCGCACGCATCCTACTTCCACCTCGTATATGGTGTCGTGAATCTAGCTATGAATCTTCCGTTGGGTCAGACTGTATAGATCAGGCAATGCTGCTCACATGGCAACTACTTAGTTGACGTATACTGTGGAGTGTCCGAAGATGTATGTGCCTTTGCTCTCAGGGAAATGAAATTGATACGAGTCAGTAGTGCACATCGGTACTGCTCGTGAATCAATCCAATACGAACATATAGCCAGAATCGCCCTACGTTCTGGACATATTTAACGTCTGTCAGTGGTTCCCTTCCCCCTGGGGCTACTCGTCAGGTGCTTTGCGACACGAAGCTATTGCAGCCTTGTTGCGTCTCTGAGTCCCATGTATGAACAGCGCCGGCAAAATGTGACAGCCGGAAGAGCTAAATCGGCGCCGCTGTTCGGGAAGTCCATCTTTCGTATCAACTATATGCTCCGCTCTCGCATCTGCAGGCTGACTGACATCGGGGTGAGTTCACGGCCATGGTCCATCTCCCGTGGTGCGTTACGAGCTGACTTGGGCTGTGTATGCAGTCATCTAACTATATCACACAGTCGTGGCTCCTGTGCATCACACATTCACATCAATATGACAGAGACCGAAACAACAGGGACGATCGCTCCGCTCCCCTGTATGGCTGTAAATTAACCTAAAATCTGCCGCACCGCCCATCCTCTGAGCGCAAATGAGCACATGGGGATAGGGCATGCTAATGAAGACATATGAAAAGATGATACGGTGCAGGAGGCTCACTTTATCCTCGACCTCGACCTCGACCGCACCACATTTGCCGACATGACCGCGATGTCACTTCCACCGTCTACTGCACAAGAAATACGCACGCGCCTCATTTCAGAACCATTCTGGCTCCAAGTATGCAGCTTTGTCGTAGCGGTCTTTACTTCCCACTCTACCTTTGGCACTATAGACTGGAGACCGGTAAGCATGCCCTGTATAGCACATCCACAACGTCCCTTACCTGGCCGGTCCTTCAATCCAGGTTGTCGCGCTCTGCTCAGCCGATTACATAGGATATGGACTTGATCATTACCTAGACCAGGCACCGGTATATGCACAAGCGCGAGAGCTTGACGATCGCGACGTCGTGTCCGTCTTCTCGCGTGCGCGGATATATCTCATCCTCAATGCCGTCGCATTGCTGATAGGACTGCTGTGCTGTCCTCTCTCCACGTGGATGCTGGTCGCATGCATCCTCGTACCTGCGCTCTTATGGAATACACCGCTTTTCAATTGGCCGGCTCTTACCTCGAGAGGCGAGGCCAAGCATGCGTTCGTCCTTAAACGCGTTCCGGTCATGAAGGCGGTATTTGTCGGCGTCATTCGTGGGTAAGAGAAAGTTGCACGAGAGAGCGGACAATGAGGCGCTCACGTATTTCTCTAGCTCAGGGTTCTTTCCGGTAATTTGGTCCGTGGTGTCTGCACCTGTCTCTAGGACCTGGGACCCCGTGCGCCTTATGGTCTGGTCCACCATTAACTGGACATGCATGTCGGTGAGTCCTGTCAGCTCGTCACAGCTGTCTATATCCATTCATTTTGGGTGTATCTGGTAGATCACACACGACATGCGGGACTTTGAGGACGACAAGGTAGCGCGGATACCGACGATACCCGTTCTTCTTGACTCCGTGTATAGGGCCAGGGTGCTCATCACGGCGGTCCAGCTGGCGGTGCTCATGGCATGTTCGAACGACCTCTACATCGTGTCCTGCTCTCTGTGGATCATCACGCTTGCGTGGTGCGTGAATGAACACAGTCCACGGTGGCTGTTCATATGCATCTCCCACGCACATACTCCAATCTTCCTTGTGTATGGTCTCGTGCAGTGGCACAAATGGGTGTACGGGATGGCGGCACAATAGTGTATAAACTACTCACAAGCATGTAGACCGGTATGTCCAGATTTCTAGTCTTACAAGCCGAAGTGAAACACGGGATTCTCGGATCTCCCGGGAGCTTCTTGTCTGAAGCCTGCATGTATTCAGGACGCGAAGACGCGGTAAGCAGAAGCGCTGTTCCCATAGCAGAAGATGCAAGAGATGTAACTGCTTGTATGGGGTGTTCGGTTTCGTCGCAGTGCCATTCTTTTACCACTCCCAGGGAGCCGGGTTACGAGCTCCAATTGACTATCCGGCTGGCTCTTCCTGGACAACTTCGACCGCAGCAAGCCGTCTCAGTTTGCTCCTGTCAAAACGCCTTCGCTGTCTTCGTACTATCTTACTGATTTCTCCCGAGAACCTCGGAGTGTTATCCAATGCGTTGAGACCAAGAATTACAGACGGCGCACTGACGAAAAGACTATTCCTTGCTCGCTAGTAGTGATATGCAAAGCCCGGTTTGAAGCCCTCAGGCCGTGCCAAGCCGGCCGTTGTAGGCCGGGCCCAGCCGGGCCCGCAAGGGCGGCCTATCGCGGGCCTCACAAAGCGTCTAATCCTGTAGTTGTACATGTATCTGATACATACTACATGCCTGCGACACGCACATCCTCCGGTCTGCCCGCACGTCGAATAATGAGTGAGTGGACGCTGTAAGCACGCGCTACAATACTCATCTTTTACGGCTACGCAGGAGGACTCATGCAACAGCCTCTCCTCGTTTCCTGATCTAATCTTTGCCCGGTCCATCATGCTCCCCTGAGGCTCGCCATCGCAGACATGTCCGGATGCCCACAGAGCTGAACGCGATTCGCGGCTCGCGCATGGTTCTTGATGGACGGCCATTGTTCATTGGCGACGGTTCGCTGCTGAACCACATTCTGCGTTCCTACGTGCTTTGTCTCTCCGCCCTAGGTCTAGTGATACACTACTGCTTGGTTGGAATTACGGCAAGCGATTGAGGACCGAGGTGGCATACAACGATTCTAAAGGTATCACTAAGGCCTTCAGTATGAATGACCTCAAATGCGCTGGCAAGGCTGGGCGACGAGGAGCTGTTCAGCGACGACAAATGGGGGTATGTTGGAAGATATAATGAACAAGAACGTGTGTACCCGCGTAGAGCATTAATTCAGATTCTGATCATGGTTGTAGGCCGTCACGAGGTATTCTATAAGTCTCTTTGCACACATAGTACCATTGATCCTGTTACAAACTCAAGCTACTCATTCCCGGCTAAGGTGTTGATCCGCATTGACGTGTCATACAAGGTAGACTGGCTGTGCTCGAGCCTGTTCGTCACTAACACTGTTGTGCTTACTACTCCGAGCGCAACACTTACATTCTCTTCGCGGAGGCCAATTTGCGACCCATTGAACGCTGGACAAACAGTGCTTCGAAGTCCTCCCTCTGCTCAAAATCCCCGCATCAGCTGAGTAAGTATCGAACGTGGTTTGCAAGAGCAAATCTGCTAATACTCCCTTCGGAATACCAACCATTGAGGAATGGAAGGCCATGTGGGCCGCATGAGACCTCATAACCCAGCGCATGATCCCTCAATCTATGCTCTTCCAGGAGCCGAGCGATCTACACCACAGATGTTTGTTCTATCTGAGGCATAGCGAACTTCTCGCCCATGCCATCACTCCGTCAGTCCTGCCTACCATCCCGATTCCTCCTCGACAACGCTGTGTTTCTTCCGCCGCGCTCACTGCTCGTGATGAGCATTACATACTCGTTATCATTGGGGTCTCCTCTGCATCGTCATCGCATCTTTCCTCTGCATCGTCGTCTGTATATCCCTGCAGTCTCCCGAGCACACCGCCGCCAACCCGCACAATGCACGAGGGCCGCCCGCGTTTTATATCCCTCAGCATCAATAGCGGGCACTCGCGCTCTAGTTCTGCCACTCCGACCGACTATGACAAGTGAACACAGGTAACGGCTGGGTCTCCGCAACGGGGCGACAGGCAGACGCGGGTGGCGTACCGCCAATCGCGTGCGATCATGCGTGCTCGTTTACGGCGGCGTACGCACGCACGCGTTGTGCAGAGTCGCCCGCGTGCATTTGTGTCGACCGACAGATGGACACCGTCGCAGATGCTGCCGTGCGCATGGTCGGCTCCTCCTGTGGCCGGGGTGTGCAAATCTGTGTCGCGATGGCTCAACGTAGTCTCGCGGCCTATGCCGCTCCGTGTCGTGCTTGTCGCCGTTGCCACATTCCGCCTTTTGCCTTGCTTTCCCGACTAATGGTGTCTGATCGGGGCCGCAAGGCCAACGCCCGATCCTCACGCCAGAGCATCCTGTGCGTTGCTCTGGCACCAGACGCCATGCATGTTCCCTGCCTACAGAATCCAGCGGAGGCGTGAGGGCAACAGTGGCCAGCCAGCTAGAGCGCGTGGGGCGCGAGGGACACGCCGAGATGAGGCAGGCCAGCGTACCTCACGAGGGGGACGGCATGTCGGCTGTCAGGGGGCGACCGACACAGTGGGTCTGTTTCAAAGTCCCGTTTGCATGTGGAAACTGTCCAGATCCTGCGGGAAGGCTCCTATATGTTGGTCCTTGCTATTTTGCATCTGCGCCTAGAGCGTGTTTCACTTTCAACAAGAGCCAACACGTCAACGAGCGGCGAGGGCGGGGACGGATGTGGTAAGCAGAACGGTTGTGTTGGGCCAGTGAGCAGAGCAGAGCTTCAAATTGGTCCAGCCGCCGAGCTGACAACTGTTAGAGGTTCCCATTCTAATACTGTGCCTACCTGGGTAGTCGGCAGACCCCAAGTCGGCACCCCTTTCCTGATTGGCCATGGAGCCAAAATCAATGATCGGATCGCGTCGGATTGCGAACATCCCGAGAGGTTCCGGGGAATCCTGCCCTCTGATTGGAGGTAGGTCAAGGCTGCCGACTTGGGGGGTCTGCCGACTACCCAGGTAGGCACAGTATTGATCTCCTGCATGGAGATGCATCGTTGTTTGATGAAGAACACAGTGTGGATGCCACCATAATACAGTCCGTATTCGCCTACTGTCGTCTCACAATACCCCTAAACGCTCCACGCACGGCGCACTGCCTATCCTTACTCGTCGCTCTTTTGGCACAATCATTCCTCGACACCATCTCCTTCCCGACACCATGTCGTGCACCCCGCTAGAGGAGATCCCCAAGGTCAGACCAGGAAACAATGTACATATGTGACTTGCTCATACCCGTTCTAATCCAGGTCTATGAAGGCCTCAAAGCAGCATTCAGATCCGGGAAGACAAAGTCTGTCGCATTCCGCAAGGCACAGCTATCCCAGCTACTCTATCTTCTCGACGACAACGTAGGCCGCTTCCAACAGGCGCTGCATGCAGACCTTGGGCGACCGTTTAAGGAGGCTCAGCTGTGAGTCGGATCATGTCTATCTGGCTTATAGAAATATTGATAGGTTCCTTCGGCTACTTCGGGCATTAGCCTGGAGATTAACGGGACACTCCTTCAGCTGCAAGGTGCACATGACAATGTAGAAGCCTGGGCTTCACCTCAACGTGCCCCGTTCTCGTTGTTGTGGTACCCTATGTCGCCTATCACCCGAAAAGAGCCCAAGGGAGTCGTGCTGATCATTGGCCCATTCAACTATCCTGTCTATCTCATTTTATGTCCTCTCGTGAGTACATTCGATAGCGTGCTGCTACCTCGTCCGCTTATGCATTGGTCCTCGTGATCTCATCAGGCCGCCGCTATCGCAGCCGGAAACACAGTTCTCCTCAAGCCATCTGAGCTGTCTATGGCAACTGCGACACTGCTCACCGAGCTCATTCCGCAGTATCTTGATCCTGATGTCGTTCGGGTAGTCAATGGTGCTATTCCCGAGACTACAAAGGTACGCTCTTCTCCGCTGATCCATGGCATTACCCTGACTCTGGTCTAGATCCTTGAGCTTCCGTTCGATCACAGTGAGTCTTCATGACTATGTGATTAGAGCTCGCTGTTGACTCCACATGGTCAGTTCTGTATACAGGGAATGGTCGTGTCGGTCGTGTTGTCAGCACTGCTGCTGCTCAACACTTGACACCCGTTACACTCGAAGTAGGCACCCTTCCTGCATCTTTATACAGACGGACACTCATGCATCCCGCTAGCTGGGAGGTGAGTATTGAATGATGGTGATCTCCGAGAGACAATCGCATATGCATTGCTCAGGCAAATGCCCTTGTGTAATTGACCCAAAATGCGACCTCAAGACGGCAGCAAAGCGAATTATGTGGGGAAAGCTAGCGAACGGTGGCCAGGTGTGTATGTTCAACCTAAGACAGCCATCCACCCTCTAATAGTCGACTTTCCAGATCTGCCTATGTCCGGACTACGTCATTGTCCCGGCGCACTTCCAGGATGCCGTTGTCGAAGCGCTTGTTGCAGCGTGCGTTCGGTCTGTGAATGTTAGATATAGTCAAGCTGATCATATCTGTGCAGATACAAAGAACTGCACCCTGTTGACCCCCGCGAGTCGGGCGAGGTGACCCGCATGGTGAACAAGCGTCATGCGGAGCGCATCAAGAAGCTCGTCGACACGACCCGTGGTACAATCGTAATCGGCGGCGAAGTAGACACGGAGACGCTGTATGCTGCGCCAACGATTGTGAGGGATGTCGGACCCAAAGATTCACTCATGAGCGAGTGAGTCGTCATCCATTGCTCGAGATTGTGAATGTTCTCGGGCAGTTGGACTAATGCTTTCTGTGCACTGTCAGGGAACTGTTTGGGCCGGTACTGCCTATCGTGCCTGTTAGCGACGTGGACGAGGCGATAGCATTCATCGGCGAGCGGTACGTGCTATCCTGTGTCTCTGCATCTCGATTCACAATTGAGAGTCGCAGGGACCATCCGTTGTGCTTATACATCTTCTCCAATGACGCGGCATTCAAGACCAAAGGTTGTTCTTTCTGTCCATAACGTCGATAGCATGTTCATCATTCACAGTGATCGACAACACGCTGAGCGGAACCGTCGCCATCAACGATACTCTGCTGCAAATCGGAGGTGCGTGTCTCCGTGTTATCCCGCATCACGCGCAAAGTACTTGATGCTGACTGAGACCCCTTCAGCACCTACTCCCTTTGGTGGTGTTGGAGCAAGCGGCCGTAAGTCGCATCCTAGCACTCATCATTAGCACCGCGCCGAGCGCTGACGCTTGGTGCATAGACGGAGGGTATCAGTCAGGAAAGTACGCTTTCGAAACCTTCACACACATGCGCCCTGTTACGGATAGTCCGAACTGGTGGGCTTCTCTACTCTACATGCAGTCTTCCCCACTGACATTGCGCGGTTCTTTACGGGCAGGCTAGACTCAGCTCTGATGGGCGCACGATATACACCGTATGATGTACGTATTCATCTTCCTCTGAGTACTGCAGACCTGATCTGAGGCCTCCCGCACGGGCGGGTCCAGGAGAGCTCTTTCCGCCAGCTGAACGCGGTGCTGCATGCGCGACTTCCACCTCGCAATGCTGCCTCACTTGGGTACTTTGGATGCATGGCAGCGGAGATCTCATGCTCACTCAACTGGTATCGACGTTTCTGGTCCAACCGACCGAATGGGTCAGCCTGAGAGTCAGGCTCGTAGCCATTTACCTTCACATCAAATTTGTGTGTACTGTTAAATAGGGTTATCTAATTGCCATAACTTGTTGGTGTAAGACTTTGGAAGACGGGTACAATGATCACGTTTGTCGCGACTTGAGGTCGAGCGACTGGAAAACTTGAAGGCTGGGGGTGTCTGACTGATCCTTACCGAAGTGATGGTGAGCAACGCTCAAACCTAAGGCTAGGGACAAGAATATATTAGTTAGTAAAGAAAAGGAAGTAAGTACATGGGAGCTTACTGACCTAGGGACAAGAGGTCAAAACTGAGGTCCCTAGGGCAGCAGAGGCCGGCTTATATACATGAGGAGATTAGGGGAGGCTGTGCGCACTGGTCCGTGCGCAGTTGGTCCGTGCGCAGCATGCTGACGCGGCCCCGGGGGCCGGTGAGTCAGAGCGGCTGTGTCAGCGGAGCCCAAGCTGTGCCGTGCACTGCCGCCCCATCTAATCTAATCGTACAGTAGATATGATGTGTCCGTATCAGGCAAGTAGTACAGAGGTCGTGGGTTCGAGCCCGCAAAAAGGAAAAAATGACAGAACGGTTAGGCGCCATGCCAACTCATGACATTACCCCCCCCCTCAACGGCGCATGACCTCATGCGAGGCGCCCTTGCCCATCTCCCACCCGGAGCGGCAGCGTGCTTCAGTCATCAGCGAAGGCACTGGCTGAAAGTTGAGATCACCAAAGACAGCAGTATTGAGGCGGCGAGGGGCATTCGGGTTCTTCCGGTGGAAGTCGGCTATGAGGGCCGGTGCATTGGCAACATTGCGTGCCGGTTCCCATGATGTATGCGAGTCGTCATAACCCTTCCACTTGATGAGGTACTGTAGTTGACGCCGGAAGATCCTCGAGTCCTTGATCTGCTCAACTTCATACTCCTCATTGCCCTCAACCTCGATCGCAGGCGGCTCCTCCGGCTCCCGGCCCGGGATATCGCTATGCGTGTACTTGCTAAGCAAGGAGACATGGAATACCGGGTGCACCGGCACCGACTTTGGCAGGACTAATTTGTAATCCAGGTCTCCGAGCTTTCGCCGCACGGCATAAGGTCCAAGGCGCTTGGGACTGAGCTTCTTGCTCAGCTGTTTCAGCTTAAGGTTCCAAGCGTCAAGCCAGACCTTGTCCCCCGGTGCAAAGACTGGTGCCTCCTGCACGTGCTTGTTATAGTACACTTTCATACGCTCGGCTGATAGCTCGAGCGCAGAGTGCGTGTCATTGCGAATCTCCTTCAGGATCTTGAGCCGATCAGCGGCTGCAGGCATCGCAGACATTGGATTGACCCGCACTTGGATCTCAGGATTGTACCCTTGATGCAGGAAGAAAGGGGAGTGCCTGGTTGCGGAGTGAACTCGGTTGTTCAGTGCGAATTCCGCGAGCGGCAATTGCTTTGCCCAATCATCCTGCCTGTGGCTTGTGAAAGTGCGCAGGTACTGTTCAATTTCCTGATTCCAACGCTCTGTCTGGCCGTCTGTCTGGGGATGGAATGCTGTGGACAGCACCGGCTCGATCCCTAGTCCCTTGTACACCACGTGGAGATATTCTGAAGCGAACTGGGGACCTCGGTCTGATATGACCTTGGCCGGGGCCCCATGATGCTTGAACACATCGCGGATGTACAAGTCTGCTGCACCTTCTGCCGTTAGGGTCTCATGACAGGCCGAGAAGTGGACCTGCTTGGTAAAGCGGTCAGTAGTGACCAGGATCGAGTCGAATCCATCAGACTTCGGCAGACCGACAATCATATTGGTCGTGATGATCTGCCACGGGCGCTCGGGGATCTCGTTCGGCTTCAGCGGACCCTGGGGCTTGGCTGGGAATGTCTTGGTACGGTTGCACACGTCGCAGGTGCTTACGTACTCATTGACAAATTTGGACATTCCTGGCCACCAGTAGTTCCGCGATACAAGCTTCAGGGTTTTGGCACAACCACCATGTCCGGTGATCGGCAAGTCGTGGTGGATCTTGACGATATCCCACCAGAGCTCCGCGTTCTTTGGGATGTACACGCACCCGCGGAACAGCAGGAGCCCTTGTTTGGCATTCCACTCCTCAAAGCCTCTTTGCAACCGGGGCGGCCCGAGGTCCTGCACCTTCTCAAGTACTTCAGCCACTACGCGATCCTTCTCTGAACATTCCCTGATGCGCTTCAGAAGCGACTGATCGGCTGTCACCGAGGCATGGCCCCGTCTGGCAGAGGTGATGCGGAACCTTTCTGGTTTGAGAACCACCTGGTTGGTGTTATCGTCCTCATCGCCGATCTGATGGTCTGATCGATGTGACAGGGCATCAGCCTTTCCATTCGACGTCCCGGCCTTGTGCGTGATGCGGAAGTCGAAGCGAGCCAGGAACAGCAACCATCATGCTTGACGACGCGTGAGATGCTTGGATGTACGCCAGTACTCAAGATTCTTGTGATCGGTGATGATCTCGAACTGATTGGGCAACCCCTCGAGGTAGTGGCGCCAATCGTCTAGCGCCTCAATGATGGCCAGCATCTCCTTATTGTAGATCTTGTAGTTCCGCTGGGCTGGGTCCATGGCGTGCGACCGGAAGGCGATGGGATGCCATTTGCCGTCATCCTGCTTCTGCATCAACACGCCGCCAGTGGCGTAGCCCGAGGCGTCGACCTCAATACGCGTTTTCCGATTAGGATCGTACAGCGCTAAGACTGGAGTTGTCGCAAAGAGCCGCTTGAGCTCATCGAAGGCGTGCTGCTCTTCCTCACCCCAATGCCATGGGTCATTCCCTGTGAGCCGGTCGAGTGGTCGTGAGATCTTAGCGAAGTCTTTGATGAAGCGGCGGTAGAAGTTGGAGAACCCCCGGAACTTCTGAACGTCTTTCTTGTTCCGGGGTACCGGCCACTCATTGATTCCTTTCAGCTTCACGGGATCCATCGCTACCTCATCGCCACCAAACACATAGCCGACATAGTCGACTTTGGGAATGTCCCATTCGCATTTCTCAGGCTTCAGGAACAGATCGTTGTCCTGAAGGCAGCGCAGAACCTCACGTGTGACCCTCTCATGTTCCTCCTTGTTGGTGGAGAAGATGAGTATATCGTCCAGGTACACAAGGATCTTTCTGCCAACAATGAGATCATGGAAGATCTCATTCATCATGGCCTGGAAGGTCGCAGGGGAGTTGGTGAGACCAAAGAACATCACCAAGGGCTCGTACAACCCTCGGTTAGTCACAAAGGCCGCCTTCCATTCGTCACCGGCTTTGATCCGGACGTTGTTGTATCCCCATCGGACATCGAACTTCGTGAAGAGCGTGGCACCGCGGAGCTTATCCACCATCTCGGCGATCAGCGGCAAGGGGTAGCAGTTCTTTACTGTGATCGCATTCAACCGGCAATAGTCTTGTACCGGTCAAAGTGTCCCTTCTTTCTTTTTGATGATGAAGAAGGAGGAGGAGATAGGCGACTTTGATTCCTGTATGTAGCCTTTTGCCAGCTGCTCTTTTAGGAACATATGAAGTTCCTCCTGCTCATTGTTCGATAAGGGATACACCTTCGAGTGGAACATCGGATAGCCAGGCACGAGCTCGATCGCGTGATCATAAGGCTTCCTTTCGGGTAGCCATTCTGATGCTTCCTTAGAGAAGACATTCAGGAACTCGTGGTACTGTTTAGGTACCGACTCCTCGGCAGTCTTAATGACCTTCTTTTTGATCTTTTCCTCAGCGAACAGCTGGAAGTACGTATGCCCGGCTGCGACAAACAGCTGAGGGGCACCGGGAAGCGTGATACCCTGCTCCCAGGCTTCAATCAAGTCGGCCTCATTCCACTCTACTTCCGCCGGATCTTCTTCGGGTTCGAAGTCTGGGAGTACCTTACTCCGGCAGGCACCTATGACCGACCGTTTGGACTTCAGTGAACACCTGCATGCCATGGGCCTGACCCCCATATCATGCGCAGTTGCTGCTTGCTCCATTCGGCCAATTCTCCTGGCACTGCACGTTTCAGGGTATCGTGACAATCTGAGGGAGCCTTTTTCCCAGTCGATCTCGGGGTTGTGCTCACATAGCCAGTCTAACCCAACGATCACATCCTCCGGACCGATGTCCGTGACCATGAATACCGTCTTCTCGACGTGTTCTCCTATTTGCATCTGTAGCACGGCTACTTCCGAGATGCTTCTGTCCTTGTTAAGGGTGCCGTCAATATTGTATAGCGGAATCGGCTCTTTCAATTTCCGCGTTTGCACCTTATTTTCTATAATGAATCGCTTGTTGATAAAC